TTCGCTTTTGGTTATATATACGTATTTTGCATTGTTTGAATTTGAACAATGACTCAACAAATATATTAATATTGTCATATTGATCATTCTATTAGTTAGATTATATTAAAAATATAATTATTTGATAGTTCATTTAATAACAAGCACTGTACTTGGATGTAGACCTATGCAAGACTATTTGTAGGTCATTTACAAATTATTTTATCTAAAGTATACGTACTTTGATAAGTTAATTTTCATTTTTACAAAAATATATACTAAAATTGATATGCATCATTAAAATTGCTTTAAAATAATTTTTTTTTTCTGTTGTTGTCAGAACCATGTTCTACAATTGCAAATACTTAAAGACCGTCTTTGGTTATATGAAATAATACAATTTATATGAAGTAACTTAATTTAAATGATTTAAAAAAGAAAAATAATAATATAAATGATTCTTTAAAAAAAAATTAAATGATTATACTATAACATTAATAAATACTTATGTGTGTGTACTGTGTAGTCATATGGGCAAACATATTGGATAAATTATAAACAAAGTAAATAGAAAATGAAGTAGGTGAGGCATGGAGGTGGTTAATGTAGTTGGATGTGGAGAGATTTTTAGTTAGCTATTAAATGTCTCATCCACCTCCCATGTTTACTCGCAACGTGTGGCAGCTCACAAATTCGGCGATTAAAATTTCCATACAAAATGTATCATGTACACATGCTTGGTAGTTTCCTAGAACAAACGTTAAATAAGAATTTCAAAGTAGAATATATAAACTTTTTTTTTTTTGCTAACATTTTTTTTTATATATCAAAGTCAGTTAGTTTTCACAATTATATAAACTTAACTACTTAAATGTAAAACAAAAATTACTCAACTACTTAAATCCATTAATATTGCCTTGTTTCAACTTTAGCATGTATTTTAACCGCAGTAGTACGTATAGTAGATCATCATACGTCAAAAATAGCCAGCCTATACGTTTCTCGTTTTTTTTACCGTAGTAAAACTTTGTTTATGTTCTCAATATAATTTATACTCGACCATTATTTATATAAAATAGTTGAATTGTGCGTGGGATAACTGATAATTAATACGACTACCTATTTTTATCAAAAAATAATGCGAACGTATTGTAAAGATGGTAGGAGGGGTCTCTTCAATTAAGAATGTCAACTGTAAGTCTACTAAAACATAGGGACCCAAATTATGTTTGTATGCCGTTTAGATCACATACATTAGCTTTCTTGATCGGTGAATAGGTGCAATAATAGTTTTTAAGTGAAAATGTAGAAATTAACACAGTTGAAAGTGAAATTTGCTAAGTGACCAGAGTCTGGCCATAAAAATTAGAAAATCGTGAGATAAAGAAAACAAAAAGAATTGTTTTGCACATTTTTATTTAACAAATAAGAACGTCTGATAGACAAAATTAATTTTAATTTTGAAGGTCATGTTTGGTATGCAATGGGCTCATGACCGACTCCGTCGGTACGTAATACATAATAGTCTATTGAGAGTGCAATTCTTCGTAGCATCTAACTGGTTTTATTTTTCAAAATTAATTCGTACTACCTCAAAACCGTCGACTTTCCTTGAGAGAATATTTAAACAAACCAAAAACTTACAAGTTATCAAGCTGTG